ACATGCATGAATTATAAACACAGTGAGCATGACTTCTACACAGTGAGCATTTTTTGAACCATTTGAACCATTCTAATTACATTTCAGTTTCATTTAACAATATTATTATATTTTTTAATTTTATTTTCCACACACTAATTTTATTAAAGCAATTTTAAAGTTTCATTTTAATTCTACTACAGGTTATTTGACAATATACATTATTGAATGAGTTATATTTTTTGTTTCATTTTCTACAAACACTAGTTTAATTATAGTAATGTTAAAGTATTATTTTAATCACACTTTAGGTTCATTTGACAATTTATGTTATTGTACGACTCTGGATTTTAGTTTCATTTCCACCACACACTACTTTCATTATCGCAATTTGAAACAATAAATATCATTTCAATTATACTATAGTTTAATTTGACAATATACGTTATTAAATGAGCTTTATTTTTTAGTTTCATTTTGTACACACTAGTTTCATTATAGTAACAAACACTAAATTAATTCTACTAGAGTTTCATTCAACGATCATGTTCTACACAATGTTGTGTATACCATAGTCCACTGTATTATTAGAAATAATTTATTCCTAACGTTGATTCATATAATTAAGGTGTCATGCTTATATGAATCAAAGTGGGAGACTGTTAGAAATAATTATTTTCTAACAATGATTTATATAATAAAGGTTGTAATTCCATAAGGTGCTCATGTTGATGATTAGTGATGTGTAAAGGCGGAATAACTGGGTGAAATTCCCTCCCTCTTCTGTTAAAATTTTAAGTTTATAAGGGTTAAAAGATGTATAATGGATAAGGTTATGGGTTTCACATTCCTAAAGGGATTTCTATTCCTAAAAGGAGGTTACATTCTTAAAGGGATTTCTATTCCTAAAGGAGGTTCCCACATTCCTCTTGAAAGAGGGTTTCTCATCACATCTATAAATACCCAGGAAAACTCTAGGGATCTTAACGGGTTTCAAATCTCTAAGTTTTCTAGTTTCTGTATCATCTGATTCATTCAATTTAGAGATTACATCTATCTCTTCTATTTAATTAAAAATCCATGATCATGAACATTGTTTAGTTGATTGATTTGATTTACATGCGATTATTGTTAATTGTGCTTCCGCATTCAAGTTATAGCGCATAAAAGATTATTTAATATTTGGTATCAGAGCCTGCTTGTAAATTGATTAATCACAAAAATTAGGGTTCATGATATTTGGGGATTTTTAATTATAAGGTATTATCACTGCCGTGTGGTTTGTGTTCGCTGATGATGGAATCAAAACTGCGTATGTATTGAATATATTTATAAATTGATTTATGTTTGTGTTTTGGAATCAATTGTATTGCAATGTGTACGCATTGTTCAAAGCCATCCAACATATATATGTTTCAAGTGTTTGTACTGTTCATACGAAATAAATTGATTTGTATGTTGTTGAAATCAAAATCAATCGTATATGTGTACTGCTATGAATACGTAATGTTTTCTTGGAATCAACATCACATATATGTCATCAGATGTATGTATATACTGTAATATAATGCATATATTTTTTGAATTAAATCATATGGAATCAAGAAACATATATGTTAGTTGTACTGTGTACATACTGTATATGATTCATATATTATGACTTGACACTATCAATCATGTATTATATGTTATACGAGAACAACATATAAATTAAGGGTTATCCACTAATTGCTTATGAATATGTTGAAGGTAGCAGCTAGATTTTTGTTGGAAAATATAATGATGGATTATTTAGTTGGCAAAATTAAATTGAGTCTATTTGAGTTATTTAAGGCATTAAGGATTCACTTTAAATTCTAGGCTCATTCAATTTGAGCTTATATTTGTACACATTTGGTTTATTTAAGGCGTTAAGTGCTTGCTTTAAATTATAGACTCATTTGGGATCAATTATAGCTGGAGGTTAGATCCACTATTAATTATATATATGTTTATAAATGAATTATTAGCATAAAGCGAGTGTGTTAGTCGCCAAAGTGGCCCACTCATGGTAATGGCTAAATAATCATTTATGTTTATGTTTACAACATATATATAAATTAAGGTTTACTTACAAAAATGATTTATTAGCATAAGGCGAGTGTGTTAGTCGCCAAAGCGGCCCACTCATGGTAATAGCTAAATAATCATTTATGTTTATGTTACAACATAAATTAAGGTTTACTTACATAAATGAGTTATTAGCATAAGGCGAGTGCGTCAGTTGCCAAAGCAGCCCACTCATGGTAATAGCTAAATAATCATTTATGTTTGTGTTACAACATAAATTAAGGTTTATTCACATAAATAAATTATTAGCATAAGGCGAGTGCGTTAGTTACCAAAGTGGCCCACTCAAAGAAATAGCTAAATAATTATTTATGTTTACAAATGTTTATTATACACATTATTTTTCATCATTGAATGACACTAAAGGATTGATAAACATTTGTGATCATTAACACATGGTTCTAACGGTTGCCCAAAGGTAGATCAGACATGTGATTAATGACAATTTAGGAGATTATGATTCTTGTTTTGTTAATATGTAGTGCATGTCCAAAGATGGCCTATATATTAAATTGAAACCTGATGAATAGTCTCATTCAAGTATGTGTGAATGATGCATGTCGGTAAATTGACATTGTATTTAAATTTGACGCAATGACGGATTTAAATGCAAACTTAAGGTCTATAAATTATTGTATGAATAAAAGTTTGTTACTCAAAGCAATTGATATGTGAGATAAATGTTCGTAGTGAACACTATCGTATCACGCTATAATGGTGACAATTTTGATGTTAATTAGTAGTAATAGCAGCAAGTTTAAAAAAGAAGGGCAAACATCCTATGAAGGGAAGTTCATAGGACGAGTTTGGAGCCAAAACAAAGTCAAGGTGAAGCTAAGAAGGTGGCTAAAATACTTCAAAGAGAGCCAAAGAGTGGTACTTTCAATGGATTTGATCACAAGAATCAAACAAGGGAAAAGTAGATCAAAAGACCGAAGAGTTGTAATTCCCGTTGAATTCGGCGACAGCTTAGTATTTTGATCATATCTCATGCTAGGAATGTCCGATTCAGGTGAATCTTGCGCCATTGGAAAGAAGACTCAAAGGGCTACAACCCACAACCTAGTAGAAATCTTGACGCGTCGAGTCCCAGACTCGACGCTTCAAAACTTTCCAGTAACGTTTCATCTCACATAGATTAGCGACAGTTTGGTGTTGAGTTTGTCTCATATATGGATTAGGAATATGAGTTTGTCTCATACTAGGAGTAGGAGTGAAACAAGTAGACCCAGTGTACAAGGATTAGATGCCTATTAATATATTGGTTGTTTCCCTAAGGGGTTGTGTCACCACTATCACCATCACTATGAATATAAGAATTGTTTTACTCTCGTGGATGTAGGCACTTTGCCGAATCACGTAAATCTTACTTTCTTTACCCTTTTACCATTATTATTGTTTCTTGTTCTTGTTAATCTCAACAAATTGGTATAAGAGCTTTGTTGAGATGGACAGTTCAAGTACAAAATTCGAGGTATCAAAGTTTGATGGTATAGGGAACTTTGGGTTATGGCAATCTAGGGTAAAGGATTTGTTGGCACATCAGCGCCTTCTGAAAACTTTGAAGGCAGAAAAGCTAGCTAATCTGGAAGAGGCTGATTGGAAGGAGTTGAAAAAGCAAGAAGCTACGGACGTAGTACATGCTGATAACTCTTATTATAGTGAAGGTGATGTTCTAGCAGTTACTAGTAACAAGATCGAACATTGTTTGAACATGTTGGATGTTTCTAGTTGCTAGATGAGAAAGTGGTGAGGGGCGCTGTAGTGTTGGGCAGCACGGATACCAGGAGGGGTCGCGGACCTGGTATGGGTCGGGTTTGGCATGAGTCACGGCTGGTATGGGCCGGGCTTGGCATGAGGCACGGCTAGTATGTGCGGACACTTCAGGATGAGGCGGTTCATGAACATGCACTGGGAACATTTGATGCTGCGTGGTGCGTGTTGCTGACCAGTGGCAACTGCTGGTTAGTAGAGCATTGGGCAAGGCACACGAGTTTAGTGTGACTTTACAGGGGCGCTGTTGTGTTAGGGGAAGCGTAGATACCAGGAGGGGATATGGACCTGGTATGGGCCAGATGCAGGAGGTCAGCTGAACGGGGCAGTTAGCATGAGTCGCGGTTGGTATAACAGGTCGACGGCTGAGGGGCGAATGGCGTGGGACAAAGCGGTTCGTGTACATGCACTAATTTGATGCTGCGTGGTGCATATGACTGTCTAGTTGGGATGAGCATGGTTGTTCCTACCCATGTGTATATGTGAGATAAGTCTTTTTCTCCTAAAGGGGATATTTCCGAAGGTGGAGATGATTAGATAAGTATTTTCTCCTAAAGGACATATTTGCCAAGGTGGAGATTTGTTGAGTTATCTGTTCTCTTAAAGAGCATATTCGCAAAGGTAGAGATAGTCTTTTCTCCTAAATGGCATATATGTGAAGGTGGAGATGGTGAGATAAGTCTTTTCTCCTAAAGAACATATTCGTCAAGGTGGAGATAGTCTTTTCTCCTAAAGGGCATATATGTGAAGGTGGAGATGGTGAGATAAGTTTTTCTCCTAAAGAGCGTATTTGTCAAGGTGGAGATTTGTTGAGTTATCCTTTCTCCTATAGAGCATATTCGCCAAGGTGGAGATTGTTGAGTTTGTCTCATATATGGATTAAGAATATGAGTTTGTCTCATACTAAGAGTAGGAGTGAAACGGGTAGACCCAGTGTACAGGGATTAGATGCCTATAAATATATTGGTTGTATCCCTAAGGGGTTGTGTCACTACTATCACCATCACTATATATGAATATAAGAATTGTTTCACTCCCGTGGACGTAGGCACATTGCCGAACCACGTAAATCTAGCCTTCTTTACCTTTTTGCCATTATTATTGTTTTCTTGTTATTGTTAATCTCAACATTTGGTTTTTGGACCATATCTCAGCATAGGAATGTCCAAATGAGGTGATTCTTGCACCATTGGAAAGAAAATTCGAAGGGATACAACTCTTATGAAGACATCAATGTATAAATAATAAGAGAAAAGGGTCAAAATAAGCTTTCAAACCGTACCTATTGCACTGGGCGCGATTTTTAGAAACTTCATAATTTCATCCCCTATTTGTTCCTACTATAAAAGGACCCTTTTCCTCAACCCTAGAGGAATTAATTCAAACTTTGGAGACAAGAAAGAGGAGAATTGAGAGCTTCAGGTTGTCTTTGGAAGCAAGGAGGAGGCCAAGGAGATTTGGGAGAATCACTTGGTCATTCTTGTACTCTTAGATTATCTTGTAACTCTTTATATTTGATATGTATTGCATCTTAACCAAGTGTGGCTAAGTTTTCTTAGAGATTCTTGGGTGATAGTATTTATGAACCTATGTGCCTAGTTCTTTTAATGCTTTAATATATTATTATTTGGGGTTTAATACTTGTGTTGCAATTGTGATTTGTATTGTTGTTGTTAGTAGTTAAACGGCCGTAATTACTTGCTTCATAGCTATCTTTGTGTCACAACGAGAGTTGGGCATAATTTAGGGCACATAAAATTGCACCTAACTGTTGCACCTTGAGAAAGGGTAATCTTGTTAGGTAGTTTAATTATTGATTATTGCACATTGAGAAATGGTATTAGTTAGGAATTTATTATGATGCTTGTTCTTGTTTTATTGGGTGTTTATACCACGAGAGTGGATATCCACTAGTATTAGTGACTACGAGAGTAGCTCTATACCACTTTGCATCCTCACACCCGTTTAAACCTAGATTTAATATAAACCATAGATTTAGCACTAGGTGATTAAATACTTGAAACCCAGGGATTATCTTCTCTCTACTGTTTCACAAATCTGTTGCTTTGCTTTATTTAAAATTTTTTATGCAAACATCCATGATTATTATTAGGATTAGCTTCATAAAAATAGATTAGTAGCTAGTGATTGATACAACCACTTCCCTGTGGATCGATAACCTGATACTCTAGGTATTTATTTGTTTGAAAATATACTACAATCAGGTTTGCATCTCGTTCATTGAATATATCCTTTACACATTCGACTTCCCAACCTGGACCATGTTTGTTAAACAACGATGACACCGGCGCACCACTAATTGACACATGCAGCGCTGTACTTACGTAAGGATTTTTGACTGCAAGGAGCCAAGGGTCACCTCCTATTGACGTGTTGCTACAGTCCCCAATCACTCTTCGACATCTAGGTTTAATTGCATGCATTGCTTCCAGGAGACCACACCAAATGAATGATGGATTAGAACCAGCTGTGGCGTCAAACAAGGAACAATGGGGGTAATAACGATATTTACAGACTTGCACAACTAAAGAAGTTAGTCTGGTAAGTAATCTCCAAACTTGTTTCCCAAGCAGTGCTAAATTCATTTCACGAATCCATCGGAGACCAAGTCCGCCTCTCTCCTTTGGTAATCACATCCACTCTATGATTTCTAACCAATACCTCCCCTGTCATTGACCGCACCTATCCACCAATATTTATTCAATATGGCTTCAATATCATTACATATTCCGATCGGTAAGAGGAATACCATCATAGCATAGCATGGCATAGATTGAAGAACATTTTTTAATAGCACCTCACGACTTGCCCGAGAGAGAAATCTGGAATTCCAACTATAGACACAACTTAGGATTTTATCTTTGAGAAACCCCAGTATTGCCTAATTGCCTTCTTATTCCTTCCAACTAGCGATGACAAGCCTAGATATTTCCCGAATGTATCTCCTTATTGTACCCTAAGAATGCTAACCACTTCATTTCTACAGCTTTGTGCTACATTTGTGCTAAAGCATACAAGTGATTTATCAAAATTTACACGCTGGCCAGAAGCATTCGAATATATATCCAGTTCCTCTTTCATTTGGTGGCTTTCGGCGCTATTCGCACGGAGAAATAGGAAACAATTATCGGCAAACAATAAATGTGAGATAGGTGGGCCTCCACGCGCAACACTTACTCCATGCATTAACCCCACTGCATTCTATCTTCTATTAAAGCACTTAAGCCTTCTGTCACAAGTAAGAACAGATATGGGGAAAGCAGGTCGCCTTGACGAAGCCCTCTTCCTGGTACAATTGGTCCTAGATGACGCTGCTCATGAAGGATATGGCACTGAACAGAACTCACAGATTCCATGAGAATATCAATCCATTTCTGGGCAAATCCCATCTTCACCAACACTGCACGAAGGAAGCGCCATTTAACATGATCGTAAGACTGACTCATATCGACCTTAAGCACTACCACTCCTTTGCATTGGGTCTTGCATTTGAGATAATGGTGAGCCTCATACGCAAGCATTATGTTATCGATAATTAACCGTGTGACACCCCGAAATCCAAATTCAACTAAGGGATTAATTGAGTAATTAATCCTATTTCAATTTGTAATTTAATTCCTTAAATCCCCGAAATTTAATAGTTGGGGACTAGTAATTGACTAGTCAACCCCAAAGTCAAAGTTGTACCTTGAGCTTTGTAAGGAGTTCCCTTGTTCCTTACACTTCCTTATGTTAGTAAGGGTATTCTTGACCTTTCACTTGTTGTTGGTAATGTAACCTAACCTAGTAAGACCACCTTCATTCTCTCCTTACACTTTTCTAAAAATCTAGCTACACCCTCTCTCTAAAAAGGTGAGTAGCTTTTCTTCCAAGCCAAGTTGGAACCTTGCCAAAACTTCAAGAGTTGCTTCCAAGATTCAACCTTTCTTATATTTGGGCATCTAGGAGGGTAAGATCTAAGTTCATCTTGTGTTTTTGGTTTTATCTAAGGTGTCTTTTCTTAAAGATAGGATCTTTATGATCTTTTGGTATGTTCTTGAAGTGGGTTTGGAGGGTGAGCCTTGTGAGGAGCTTGTTGAGGTGTAAAGTGAAGTCTTTAGTTTACAAGAGGTAACCCATGCTCTACAAAACCTATTTTGCTTACCTATATGTGATTTCTTGGATTCTACATGTGATGTTGCTATGAAATGTGAGTGTTTATGCATTGTCTTGTGAAAATGCATATATAGAGCTTGTGTTTAGGGTTCTTGTGTGCCATTGCTTGGCATTTCCTTTGATTCAAGTCATTTTGTTGTATTTGGTGAGATTTGACAGGTTTTGGACTTGAATTTGAGTTTGGAGATGAAAATCCGCGAAGTGTGGTATTGTGGTATAGGTTGTACCCGCGGGCGGAACGGCGGGTAGGAGGCCCACCCGCCGCCCACCCGCGGGGTACACTTGGTGAAGGAGCCTGTACCCGCGGGCAGGACCACGGGTAGGGGCCTACCCGTGGGCCCACCCGCGGGTACACTACGTTGGTTGTTTGGGGATTTCTTCCCCGTGATCCTTTTGACTCGGTATTTGGTCTTTTGACTTCCCGTTGTTCTTTTATGGAACTATTTGAGTGTCTTCTTGATGTTTCGTATGTCTAGAACTATATGGTAGGTATCCATGTAGGCTTTGGTGTCGTGAATCGTGCTAAGTGTTCAACATTGTGTTTCGTTGAACCGTGATGAGTCTTGTGTGTTCTTCGGACCTACCTTTGGTTTACCCATTTGATGAGCATGCTAGTTTGATGTTTAAATGCTAGCGTGTGTGTTGTTTGTACCTTCCGATTGGTGGATGATAACTTGTGTTATTCATCGTTGTTGTCGTTGGACTGTGATCCATTCCTTGATTGAGTATGGTTTCATATCTTCGTTGTGATCTGTTGATTGATTCCTGTTGTGGTGTGATGTGTGTGTGGCTTTACCTGGATTGCACGATTAGTGGCATGGGACACTAGTCACCAAGGTATTGCAGCGGTCCTCGTGGTGGCCGTGACGTGATTATGGAGTTTGTGGCCTTTGTGTAAGGTTCACGTGTTTATTTCTGGGATAACATGTGTTATCCAGGGCATGTGTTGCCATGTGTGATCGGTACCTCGTGTACAATGAAATCGGTGGTTTTGTTGGAGGGACTGTTGGAGGGGGAACGACGGTTCCCGGGGGAATAAGGTTGGACTTGGTGTACATGAGTCCTGGAGGTAAAGGTTGGAACTAGATATAAGGTTGGGGGTAGCCATAAGGTTGGAACAGGGCATAAGGAAAACATATCAACTCGTGTTGAGTGATGTCACGAGGGCTTGTGTAGCCGTGGTTGTGTGTTCTTTTCTTGTGACGTGTGTAGTCACAATGGCTTGTGTTGCCATCGGTCTTGTCTTTATCCTTTGTGTTGTGGTTATCCTTTGTGGTGTTGGGATGTGTTCCCGTATCCTTGTTGAGAGTGTTGAGTCTTGTGTTGACCATTGATCTTGGTTTTGTACTTATATACTTATGTATTCCGTTTCGAAAATGGTTTTACAACTTATATCTTATCTATGTATGATATTTCACATGTATTGGTGGTTTACCAGCATTATTCGCTGACCGGGCGTCGTCCCATGTTTTATTGTGTTCTTTCAGGTGATGTCTAGACGATTGCGCGGTCTAGTGCTTGCTAGTATAGTTTCTCCCTCTTTGTTTTGTGGCCTGTGTGCCAGTTTAGATGTAGCACTTTGAGTATATGGGTTTAGATGTAAACATTGCAGATGTTGCCGTAGCGTTCATCCTTTTGGTGAACGTGGCATAACACCCCGTGTTTCGGATTATGTTTATCTAGTTATCTTTCAGTCTTCCGCTGTGTTTGTTGTTTAGTTCAGTTATCTGCATGTTTAAGGCTTTTAAATAGCTTGTTTTTAGGGGATGTTACAAACCGACTAGGTACAAAAGCACTTTGAGCCTTCGATATCAACTTGTCAAGAAGTGGCTACATCCTATTTGCACAAACCTTCGCCGCAATCTTGTATAAAACTTTGCACAGGGCTATGGGGTGAAGGTCTTTCATGGACTCAGGATTCACTTTCTTTGGAATAAGCACAATTAATATATCATTCGCCTTATTCGGAAGCCGGACAGTTTCCACAAAGCGTCTGCAAAATAAAACTATGTCCCCTCCAAACATCTTCCACTAATGTTGAAAAAAATCCCGAGCCAAT